CATTCTGATGGTTCAAACGCCTTCGATTCTACAAGGACGACCGTGTCTATTTTCAACTCAGAGTCAAAGTGGGCACACTTCGGGGGAAATATTTTTCAAATTTTATCTTGAGCCCCTTATATCCTTCTGGCATGCTCAAGACGAAGCTACTCGAAGGATACAAGGCGCTCGGGGACTAGCTGTGGGGGTATTAACCCCTATACCCTTACAGCTAGGTTTGGGTCGGCCCGGGCCAGGGGGTCCGTCCCACCAGAAGACGACGCGCAGCCCAGCCGATCTGCTCAGAGTCCCGCGCAAGGAATCAAGGCAGACTTGGAGATCAAGCAAGATCCTGATCGGTTAGAATAGGAATCCTTATCCGGCCACCTATGGTAATTGTAACCGGTTGAGATTAGTTTCCAGATCTGTAACCCTGCCCCCCAGACTATATAAGGCGGGCAGGGGACCCCTCTCAAATCATCACAATCTCATTTTACATACAGCAATACAATCAAACGCAGGACGTAGGTATTACGCCCTCACGGCGACCGAACCTAGATAAAACCTCTTGTTTGTCTTGCGTCACCATCTTGTTTGTAGCTTGCGCACCTGTCTGCCGATAATCTACTACCTTAGGCATACCCCTAGGTAGACTGCCGACCATATTTCATCGACAGCGGGTGACCTTCATCTCACACAGGAACATTGCTCATCACGCCAAGGACTTTGGTGACTTAAAGCTTGCATAGATCTGTGGCATCATCGCCTCAGATGAGAAGCGACATGAGACTGCGTACACCAAGATCGTGGAGAAGCTGTTTGAGATCAACCCTGATGGTACTGTGGTTGCTCTGGCTGACATGATGAAGAAGAAAGCAGGCACGCTGCCTTTCAGCTAGGTATATGGTAGGGAAGTCCAACTGTGAAATCGGAAACCCATTGCGACTGTTGAGTTCCAGCGAAATCTATCATGCATCCTAAGACGCATCGCGAAGACAAGACCTGGTGTGTCGCATTACATAGTTGTTCAGGTTTTGACCAAATGGTCTGGGAGCATTATGTTTGCTTGTGTCGTCTCATAGAGTGATAGGAGAATGTTCGGCTGTGTTCTAGCTTTGTTTTTTCTGCTTTTTTGTACAACCTGTGGCCGCATGAACTGGGCGTGGACATGGAGTGAACATGATGTACGTTGTCTGTCGCTGGCGTTGTGTTTCGGTATGTTATTCTGTTGTTCAGATCTGTTAAAAAAATCGTGAGCTATGAAGTTCAGTTCTGTTCTGTTGTGTTTCGGTATGTTATTCTTCGTGGCTTGAATTCTGCAGTGTCAATAGAGCTCCAATTGAAGGGTACTAGAGTACTGATGCAGCCAGCATATATCTTTCAAAACAGATTGAAAAAACTTGCAAACAATGAGCTCCAACCGACGAAAGAGCAACTATCTTTCTGCCTGAAGATAAGCGGCATACGATTCATCACTCAGTTCAATGTCACATGACAAACACAAGGATGACTGACCCTGAGATCTTTGAGCAGCTAACACTATCTCCAAGTACAGACCAAATGCTTACATTACCAACTCATCATGAGAGTGCACAAAAGCTACCCAAATTCTAAGCTAACACTATCAAACACAGGCTACATTACATGAGAATTCATTTGATCCATACAATAGCCACCAAGACAGTTACAAAGATTGCCAAGAAAACAACAGCTGCATTGTCCAAGACAATTGGACTCTTTTCCTTCTTAACCTCATCTTTCAGTTCTTTTACTTCAGTCTTCAGTCTGCCAATCTCCAATTTGATGTCACTGAGCAGCAACTTCAAATCAAGTGCCACCATCTCGAACCCTCCAACAGTAGTAGCAAAGAAGTCATCGGACAACTTGAACAGCACCAGCTGGATTGTGCCTAGAAACAAAAGAACTCTCCAACAGATTGGCAGGATTATTGCGCAAATAGAGCTCATATGCATCCTCAAACCACCATTTACCACGCCTATTTGAGCACCTATAGTAGAAGTTGTCGTTCTTGCCCTTGCACTTGATGACGGGCACCAAGCACTGGGGTAGTCCACGAGAGGGAGAGTCCTCCCCTGCTGTGACGAGCTGGAAGCCGTGGTGGCCATGGGCAAACGCAAGCCCGGCGGCCAGTGGCACAATGAGCCAAGCGAGTCAAGGCGGCTGCAAAGACCTAACCCTAGCGGACGGGAAGGGAGGAGGCGAACAGAGCGCGGCGAGGAGGAAAGGGAGGCCGGCGCCTGGTGGGCCTTATCCAAATGACCGAGGGCATGGACGTCCATACGGAAATAGTGAGGCAGTGTACACACTGCAGGTGGCCCTAAGACGTCGCTGAGCGTATCCCATGGCGTTAGTCCGAGTATCGCGCAATTATAATGGTATGGTTTGAATTAGTCGAATTATAATGGAACCGAAAATTGTAATGTTGCCGATCAAAAAAAAAAACTTTCCATTTCCGGCCCTGCAATCCTGCACCGGCGCGAAAGCCCCTCAGGGCCTCACCTCCACTCCGTCGATGGCCACCTCTCCTTTACTCCTCAGTGCTCATGCCGTCCACAGTCCACTGGTGGCATCGGCTCCCGCATAAAGATCCACACCACTTGAGCAGCTAGCTCAAGGAAAGGAGGAGGAGAAGGCTGGAAGTGGAAGGGAGTGGGTGGCTTGGTAGGTTCTTGCTTGAGCTGAGCTCTTGCTGCCCGCGGATCTCTTTGGGAGTGGTGAACGGAGGATGGGGCGCGGCAAGATCGAGATAAAGAGGATCGAGAACTCCACCAACCGGCAAGTGACCTTCTCCAAGCGCCGGGCCGGACTAGTCAAGAAGGCCCGGGAGATCGGCGTGCTCTGCGACGCCGAGGTCGGCGTCGTCATCTTCTCCAGCGGCGGCAAGCTCCACGACTACTGCTCACCCAGGACCTCGTATGTCCGTTGCTCTCTTTTTTGTCTTGTGCTTATTTATTATCGTTCTTCTTCTTTTCTTCCGTGTGCAAGGCAAACTGATCGCAAAGACGCAAATTTGGTTTGGTGGTAGGCTGTCCAGGATCTTGGAGAAGTACCAGACTAACTCCGGGAAGATACTGTGGGATGAAAAGCACAAGGTGCCTGCCCTTCAGTTCCCCCTTTGACAATTTGTTTCAGTGGCACGAGCAGATTAATGATTCAAAAATTTAATGTTTGAAATGTTTCAGATCCTGAGTGCAGAGATCGACAGAGTCAAGAAGGAGAACGACAACATGCAGATTCAGCTCAGGCCAGTGTTTCTGTTTCAGATTTGCTCCCAATTTCTAGCTGCGCGAGCACTTCACTAGTTCGGTCTTCGTGTGTGTTCATGTTGTGATTGTGCTAGCATGTCCATAACTTGTGATGGTGCAGGCATCTGAAAGGCGAGGACCTGAACTCCCTGCAGCCGAGGGAGCTGATCGCCATTGAAGAGGGTCTGCAGAATGGCCAGACCAACATGCGCGACAAGCAGGCAATCCTTCTTCATCCAGTTGCTCCTGAGCTTATGTAGTTGCTTGCAGCACCAGGCATAATTCATTAGGCGAAAGTTTTGTTTCTGATTCTGATGTTGGTTTTGTTCCGTTGTTGCTGCAGATGGATCACTGGAGGATGCGCAAGAGGAATGTACGAGCTCTAAACTCGAATCCTATCCTTTGTTCCTACTCTAGACATCCTGGAGTACTTCGTTTTCTCTCTTTTTTTTCCTTTTGAAAGAAGTCGTTGAGTATTTTCTGGAGTAAAAATGTTTGCAGCTCCTGATTCTTTTTTTTTCTTTTTCAGCTTTTGATCACTAATAGCCATTTGTGATTTATTGCAGGGGAAGATGCTGGAGGACGAGAACAAGATGCTGTCTTTTAGGATGGTAAGCCTCCCCTTCTGAATAGCAGTTGAAAGTCGAAACTTTGCTTGATCTTTCCTAGTTTCCTCCTTTCCACTCCTTATCATAACTTATCAGTATGCAATATTCTGAACAAATTCAATGTTCTGAGCTAACCGAAGAAACCTGAACTACCACGCTGAGCAAATTCCCAAGGGCATGAAAATTCTTGTCTTGGAATTTCTAGTTGGAACACAATTATGTTCACCGATTGGTATTCAAGTTGATTTGTCAGACTTACCAACCCAAGACCAAACTAACCAGACAAATTGAAGACGAAAATTGGTTTCCTTAGTGAAGTTCCTGTATTATTACCAACCCAACACCAGATGGTCTGCATATTAATTACTGAACCGCCTAAACCCGCTTCGGAAGTTCAGGCTTTGGTGATGGTTAACCTCATTCTGCAATTGCTGAACGCGCAGTTCTCCTGCGCTGTTCGAGAAAAAAAAATTCTGCAATTGCTGAAAGAAACCTAAAAGCTGATGGCTTGCTGAATTTTTCCCTTCGTGTTCCCAGCACCAACAGGCTGTTGATCTGAGCGGCGGCATGAGGGAGCTGGAGATCGGATACCATCAGGTCCAGCACGACAGGGATTTCACTTCCCAGATGCCGTTCACCTTCCGGGTGCAGCCCAACCACCCCAACCTGCAGGAAGACGAGTAGCTACAGACCTACAGCCTGCTGGATAGTGTTGTGCATGCCGCTCTGAAGCTCCTCACCTGCAGCTTCTATCTTGCATTTCATCATTCAGCTAGCTGGGTATCTTTCTTTTCATGACAACCTGGATGAACGATGTTGTCTGTCAGTTATTACTACTATGTGGTCGTGTCTTGTGCGTCTCTTTTGACTTTGGTGGGCCTCCAAATCGTGATGATGAGAACGTTAAGACTGAAATGAGCAATTAACTTTGTAGCCCATGCTTGCTTCATCTCTGTTCTGGTTGGTGATTATTGATGGGAAACAGAAGCAGCAGAAAATCGATGTGAATGTCGTTCATTTGCCAATTGAATATATTACAAAAGATGAATTTCAATCAATCAACAAACAGCAACACTTTGCTGCTATCTACACTCCTCTAATTCTTATCTAGTTTTTGCGATGAAACAGACGAATTTTGCCTGCTTCATCACCTCAGCATGTCCCCATTGTCGATGAACGGGGCCAACGGACCACTGAACGCCAGTGAGATGCTGAAGGTATTCCCAGCTTCGCTGAACATGGCGCTGTGCCCATACGGTAGCGGCCGGTCCGGCAGCTCTGGCACGTCCATGTCTCCCTCCAGCATCCTCACTGCGTCGCTGATGGTCGGCCGGAGCGCCACCATCACGTGCGCGCACAGGATTCCAACCAGCACGAACCTTTCCATGACCCCGCTCCGCGGGCTCTCGGCGGTGGACAGCGCCTCGTCGAGCACCTCCCTCGCGTGCCCGGCCTTGACGAGCGTCCACGCCCAGTCAGTGATCAACACGGGCCCCGCCGGCGCCGTCATGTCCAGCACGCGCCGCCCGCTCATGATCTCGAGCAGCAGCACGCCGAAGCTGTAGACGTCGCTCTTCTCCGTCAGCTGCCCATACAGCGCGTACTCCGGCGCCAGGTAGCCGTGCGTCCCGGCGACGCGCGTCGTGAGGTGCGACTGCCCCTCGCGGCTCCTCCGGGCGAGGCCGAAGTCCGCCACGCGCGCGCGCATCTCGGTGTCGAGCAGGATGTTGGTCGCCTTGATGTCCCTGTGGTAAATCGCCGGCTTGACGCCGTAATGCAGGTACTCGAGACCCCTCGCGACGTCCATGATGATGCTCCGCCGCTGGGCCCAAGTCAACGGGGGCCGCTTCGTAGCCGCTTCCCTGTCCCGGAAGATGAAGTCCTCGAGCGCGCCGTTGGGCATGAAGTCGTAGACGAGGAACCTCTGCTTCCCTTCCTCGACGTCCTCGTCGGCGATGCAGCAGCCGCGGAGCGGCACCAGATTCCGATGCCTGAGATGGCTGATGATCTCCACCTCATTGGTGAACTCCTCGTCCCCGCCCTCCATGTCCGGGTCGAGCATCTTCTTGACGGCGACCACGGACCCGTCCGCGAGCACGCCGCGGTACACGGACCCGAACCCGCCGCGGCCGATGAGATTGCGCTCGGCGAAGCCACCCGTGGCCTTGGCGAGCTCGGCAATGTCGAAGAGGATCGACCCTGTGTTGGGCCGCGGGTGCGACCGCCGCTCTCCGGACCCCTCCTCGCAGATCTTGTGGCTCTTCTTCTTGCTATTGGCATGCGTTCGCTTCCTCCTCCAAAGAAAGAAGCCGAAGAGCGATGCGAGGAGCACGAATGCGATTGGGATGGTGGCGGCGTAGACGGCCACGTTGCTAGACTTCGACGGCGCGGGGGGAGGGGACGAGAGGCCAAGGCCAAGAGCGCAGGCGGCGGTGGGTGGGTAGGTGGGGCCGGCGGAGTTGGAGATGCCAGCGGCGTAGAGGACGGAGAGGTAGAAGCAGGAGCCCGACTTGCTATCGTTGGCCGCGGCGGTGGTGAGATGCGCGGTGGCGGCGACGCCGGTGCTGTAACAGAGCGCGCAGGTCGCCGGCGAGGCGAGGTCGGGGCCGCAGGAGGAGTTGAGAGCCTGTACGGAGTCGTTCCCGACGGCGGCCGCGAACTCCGTCGCGGTGGAGACGCCGGCGCAGTAGGACGGGGTGATGGCGAACTGGCTCGGGTCCGGGAAGCATTCCGGCACCAGGGAGGAACCCGAGAGGCCCGCCGGCGCGGCGGAGATGAGGTCCGTGAAGCTCTCGATGCAGGCCGTGGAGGCCGCCGCGGACGGGAGGCGGAAGTTGCCCGTGACGCGGAGGCGCTCGGCGAGGCCGATGCCGAACAGGGAGAGCAGCGTCTGGCAGCAGGCGGTCACGTTGGGCGCGGCCCCCGCGCACGGCGTAGGGTCCCATGGGAACGTCCGCACGTAGCCCAGGTCGAGCGGGCACGAATCCGCCGTCGCGTTCCCGCCGCCGTCCGCCGCCGCACCCGCCGGCGACCGGACCAGCAAGACGACGACGACGAAGAGCGGAAAAGACCTGAGCATCGTCGGCGTCGGCATTACCGGGAGCGCTTGGTGCGCGGCCCGGCGGCTAGTGGAGGAGGTCTGCTTGACGTGGTGGCGGAGAGTGAGACAAGGAGTGGTAAAATGGGGGCGGCCAAGCTATTGCGTGCACGAGTTATCTATCCGTGCTAAAAATATTTGCGTGCGGTTTTTTGTGCGGTTCGTGAATATGACGGGTGGGGTCGGGTTGGTGGTTCGTGTGCGTTGGATTGAAGGCGACGTGGTTGGGGGAGGCGTCAAGCCGGCTCGCCGGAAGGTCGAAGGAAATGAGTGGCGGAGCAGGTGGTTAACGACTCGTGTGGGAGACCGGAGAGACCCCATCCGAGCTAGTGATAGTGATTCGGTTGACGTGGCGCGAAAGCGTGGCTGATGACATGGAAGGTTTATTTTGGTTGCGTTCGTTTCTGCTTAAGCGTCTGCAATTGTGCTAAAGGTACTAAATTGCGCAGTTTCAAAGCGAAATAAAATCCCATGACATCAAAATTTTAATTTCGCGAACTAAACACAGTCTTAAGCGTCTGCAATTGTGCTAAAGCTACTAACGGTGTAGGCTAAAACCGGTTTGGATGGTTTGGTTTGTATTTTGGACAACTAGTTTGGTGAGAAATGGGCTAAGAAATATAATAGTTCTGTTTAGTTCCAGTTAGCCCGTCGGCCACGGCGTTGCTGCACAAGGAAGCCTAGATGGGTGCCAACAATAGTTCTGTTTAGTTCGAGTCGTCATGTTCGCTTATCTTATAATCCGTATTTTTCAACTTATTTTTTTTAGTCGGAAGAGTATTTTTTCTCTTACAACAAATCAGCCGAAACAGTATTTCACTTTATTTTTTCTTGGGGCCACTGTAGCTAAATGACAGGCCTGCTCTGCAACGCGCCGCCGCGAAGATCTCGGCCACGTCTGCTCGCCACCGCTGCAGCTGGCCACGGCCTCCACATACCAGTCGTCCACGACGCTGCCGTAGAAAGCAGCCTAGATGGGTGGGTGCCACTGTAAGAATCTATAAAATCTGAAAAAAAAATAAAAGACACACCATGATGATAATAAAAATCGTTTTTGCTAAAGTCTACAGTTCCCAATTATTAGGTGGAAATAGGTCACGTTCACTTCGCTGAAAAAACGAGCCGAAACACTGTTCCGGTTGATTTGTTGTGAGAGAAAAACACTACTCTGGCTAAAAAAACAAGCTGAAAAAGACGAATTATAAGATAAGCGAACAGGGCCTATATGGAACATAACATATTCTAATGATTGCTTGAGCAAGGAGGCAGACGGCCGCGGTGCATGAGCAGAGGAGTTCCTGGTCGCCACATGCCGCTACAATCACGACTGGATGGGGCCGCCCTGCCGCTCCGCCCCGGTCGAGTGGCTCACGGGGAGCGCCCTGTGTTCGACCGCTCGTCCGAGCACCGCTGAGAGAAGAAAGAGGAGCGCCCGCGTGGAAGAGAAAGGGGTGAGCACCAAGGAGGGGAGGTCGTGCCCGTCCGGCCCGGCGGGGATGGACGACCGTGCCCACGCCGTCGGAGAAGGGCCCGCGCGGAGGAGAGGGCCCTGCGGGCGGCCGTGCTCGGGCTCGTTCGCCGAGCCAGAGGGGATGGGGGCGTGCTCGCCGGAATCAGCAGGGGATGGGGCGCGGTCACCGGAATCCGGACAAGAGAGGGGCACGCTTCGCCGAGACTGGAGGGGAAGGGCACAGTTCTGTACAATGCAGGGAGCAAACGGCCGGATGGGGGCCGAGGGTGAGCCCCATTCTCCTCCAGGAATGGGGTCTAGAGGGTGGATTTTGGTGCCCACCCTAAATTGGGGGTTATAGTAGGGACCTGATGGAGCTGTGTTTTTAGCCTGAGCAGACATATTTAGCTATGGAGGTTAAGTAAGGGGCCGAATTAGCTCAATTCGCGAGACACTAAATGCATTGCGTTGTTTGGAGAGGCAAGTATCATATTTGTATTAGTGAGCTCCTAGATTGTAATCTTACTATTATTTAATGAAAGCGTACTTTCTCTCAGAAAAAATAGCATGAGCAAATGAGAGGGACATAAGGGTAAGCAAGCGAGAGGAACGTAAAGATAAATTTCATAAATTTGTAAGATTTAAATTGGTGATCGGTGAGATGGGCGAGTAGCAGTATATAGTAATAATAGTATAGCATCCATGAAGGGCAACAAGTAGCAATTGTTTAACTACCAGAGCTACGGTGACACACAGACAGGGACAGGGAGGGGCCTTCCTATTTGTTTAAGCGCACAAATAGCATAGCGGCTGTTCTGCGCTACACTACTATAACTCTAAGCTAACCTCTCTAATAATATTAACTTTTAATATATAGCTCATAACATATATAACCCCACTTAACACTATCACAAGTTTTTAAAATATGTGTATGAGCCTAGCTCTTGATTAAGAGCTAAGTTTTCTCCGGATACCCTTATCACATGACACATATGATATCTATAAGATTGGCTAATTTTTAGACCAGGATCGATTTGAACACCCCTGTCACAAATAACGCTGGCAGTGGCGGATTGCATGAGGGCGCACCGAGAGCGAGAGCGAGGGCCGAGGAGCGAGGAGCCTTGGCCGATGGTGCTCCTGAATACGGAGTACAGCAGGACTAGACGGCGAAATAGGACAGAGGCAGACAATGGCGAACAAACAACACGTCGCGTCACTGGTCCATGCGCTCGCATCTTTGACCGATCCGCACATGCGAATGGTGCGACCAGCTCGGTCTTGCGGCACGCACGCACGTACGCCCTCGTTTTCAATTTCAACTGGCGTTGCGGCGGTTGCGTGGTTTATTATAAATAAATAAATAAATGGTAGCGTCCAGAGTTCGCCGTCGCTGTCAGGCTGACACGGGCCAGCCGGGAAAACACTGCTCATCGACGCCGATGGAGCGTGCCTTGGAAAAGAACTTTTCAGCGGAGGCAGAGGGAAAGGAAATGGCCGCCCCCAGCATGTTGTCCTCGAGCGGGCTGGGCCTGGGAAGCTTCACTCATCGGCCACCGCTCTCCATCCATAGCATGTGTGACTCTGTCTAGTTGTTTAGGGTCCCGATGGGCGGCGGCGGTTGTTTTGATATTCTTTGGTTCCACTAACACTATGTTATCAGTGAACAACATACACCAAAAATTATTCCTTTATATGTTTCTAGTAACCTTATCCATTACTAAAGTAAAAAAAACACAGGCTTAAGATTGACCTTTGATAAAGTCTAATTTTAATCAGGAGTAATCTGTATTACCATCGTTTATTCGAACACTAGTCACAACATTGTTGTACATGTCCTCGACGAGGATCACGTACTTTGATGAGACTTTATGTTTATCCAAATACCACCACATAACATTTTTTGATATCTTGTCATAAGTCTTCTCCAAGTCAATGAAAACCAAGTGGAGGTCCTTCGGCTCTCTAAACTGCTCCATAACCTGTCTTAATAAGAAAATTGCTTCTATGGTTGACCTTCCGAGCATGAAACCAAATTGGTTTGTTGATATCTACGTCGTTCCTTGCAGGCGCTGCTCGATGACTCTCTCCCATAGCTTCATAGTGTGGCTTATCAACTTAATTCTCCGATAATTGGTACAACTTTGGATATCTCCCTTGTTCTTGTAGATTGATACCAATATGATTCTTCTCCACTCCTCAGGCATCTTGTTCAATTAAAAGATATTATTGAACGTCTTGGTTAGCCATACTATAGCTATATACCCGAGACATCTCCACATCTTAATTGGGATATCATCAGGGCCCATCGCTTTGCCCCCTTTTATCCTTTTTAAGGCTTCTCTGACCTCCGATTCTTAAATCCTCCGCACAAAGTGCCTATTAGTGTCATCAAACGAGTCATCCAGCTAAACGGTGGTATTCTCGTTCTCACCATTGAACAATTTATTAAAATACTCTTGCCATCTATATCTGATCTCATCCTCCTTCACCAAGAGCTGCTCCCTCTCATTCCTTATGCACTTGACTTTGTTGAAGTACCTTGTCTTCCTATCACGAGCCCTAGCCATCTTATAAATGTTCTTGTCTTCTTCCTTCGTACTCAAACGTTGGTAAAGGTCCTCGTAGGCTCGCCCTTTGCCTCATTCACCTCTCGTTTTGCAGTCTTCTTTGCCACCTTGTACTTCTCTACGTTGTTTGCACACTTGTCATGATACAAGCGCTTATAGCACTCATTTTTCTTAATAGCCTTTTGCATATCTTTATTCCACCACCAAGTGTCTTTCGAGTTGCGCCCCCCCTTTGGTCACTCCAAGCACCTCTGAAGCAACCTTTCAAACACATGTTGCCATCTTCTCCCACATGCTGTTTGCATCGCCTTCATCCTTTCAAGGGCCATCTTCAATGACCTCACTACTAATTTTTGACCATGTTGCACCGGCAATTTTTTGATGTAATAGGGCCAAAATTGATGCGAGCCGATGCAATAGCCTTGTCACATCGGTTTGCTGTGAACGATGCGAGAGTTTGCTATTGCATCGACCATCCGTTCTCTTGCATTAAAATAGAGAGATGCAAAAAGGTTATTGTATCAAATCGTTTTGATGCGAGGTCACTATTGCATCGGCCATGGATGTCTCTTGCATCAAGATAGAGAGATGCAAAAAAGGTTATTGTATCAAAATCATATAGATGTAATACATATAATAAATTTGATGCAATAAGAATTTATATTGCTTCGACGTTAGGCTCGATGCAATACAACCTATTGCATCGACATTAGTTTTGGTGCAATAGGGAACTATTGCATCAACATTAGATTCGGTGCAATACAACATATTGCATCAATATTAGGTTTATTGCAACAAAATCTATTCAGTGCCATTTTATATTGCATCCATTTTTTCTGAATAATAAACATTTGCGGACAGAAATTCACAAAATTACAAAATCCAGTGGCACAAAAGGGCAATGATATTAATAACTTTGATCATCTGCGTTCAAAAGCGTGTACAATAATGAAGTCAAAGGTCAGAACTAAGTTATT